AACCCTCAGTTTGTTTCTCAGAGTCCATCATCTCTCATGGTTCATCTCCCCCTCCAATTTCCCCCCCTTCCTTTTTCCCTTCCTTCTCCTAATGTCCTCCATGCTATTCCTTATGTTCCACAAATAAATGAAACCATATGATAATTGACTTTCTCAGCAATTTCTGAGAACCTCCCCCTGCCCCCTCTTTGGAGAACAAAAGGCCAGGTGGACTTCCACATTAAATATCTATTCCAGTCTCACTTCTCTCTTTACTCAGGTTCCATCCCCATGCGGTTATCACCTCCACTTCTTTGGGTTTTTTTGTTTGTTTTTTGTTTTTTGTTTTCTTCTACATCTTCTTAGTACATTATTTTCCAAAGCAGAAGTGCACACACACACACACACACATTTATAAATATGTCATCAGCACCTGTTTAAGGGCAGACATTATACTCAAGGAAAAAATGTGAAAAGACAGTGTTTACAGTGCAAGAGCTTGTATCCTGCCAGGGAGAAAGAGATTCACGCCAACGATTAAACCAGAATCAAATAATTGCAAAGCAAACCAAATAGCATTTTCACAAAGGAAGAGTTAATCATCCAGAATTTGCAGATCACCACTATAGGTAATATTAGCTCCAAGAAAACGACCGATTCCACTGGGCATGCCCCATCAGATCCTTCCGGGCTGAAGCAGAGCTTGTAAGAGTTAGTTCAGGCAACTGAAAACAATCAAATCCATTTTAGAAGCACCCTTCTTGGTGAAATGAAATGAATTTTATTTGAAATAGGCATTGGGATTGAAGCTGAGTTACGGATTTACAAGGTTATAGGCACTGAAGACTTTTCAGAAATAGCTATCCTGCCTGGAATTCTAAAGGTATTCCAGTTAGAGAAAATTCTTACTTGTATCGGTAGGTAAAATGCTTGAATATCCATATAAATTTTGTTGTTTTTTTTATTCAGTGATAGTTAACATACAGTGTTATATTAGTTGCAGGTGTACAATATAGTGATTCAACAATTCTATACCTTACTCAGTACTCATCACGATAAGTGTGCCCTTAATCCCCTTCACCCATTCTCCCCCATCTTCCACCCACCTGCCCTCTGACGACCACCCACTTTGTTTCTATATGTAAGAGTGTGGTTGTCTCTTTTTTCTTTGTTCATTGGTTTTGTTTCCTAAATTCCACATATGAGTGAAATCAGATGCTATTTGTCTTTCTCTGACTGACTTATTTCACTTAGCATAATACCCTCTAGTTCCATCCATGTCATTGCAATGGGCAAGATTTTATTCTTTTTTATGGCTGAATACTATTATACTATGTGTGTGTGTGTGTGTGTGTGTGTGTGTGTGTGTACACACCGCATCTTTATTCGTTCATCTATTGATGGACACTTGGGCTGCTTCCAGATTCTTGGCTACAGTAAATAATTCTGCAGTAAAGATAGGGGAGCATGTATCTTTTCAAATTAGTGTTTTTGTTTTCTTTGGTTAAATACCCAGTAGTGGAATTACTGGAACAAATGGTAATTCTATTTTTGACTTTTTGAGGAAACTCCATGCTGTTTTCCAGAGTGGCTGAAGTCTGCATTCCCATCAACAGTGCATGAGGGTTCCCCTTCCTCCACAGCCTGATTGACATTTGTTGTTTCTTGAGTTTTTGATTCTAGCCATTCTGACAGGTGTGATGTGGTATTACATGGTGGTTTTGACTTGTATTTCCCTGATGGTAAGTGATGTTGAGCATCTTTTCGTGTGTCTGTTGGCCCTCTATATCTTCATTGGAATAGTGTCTATTCAGGTCATCCTGCCCATTTTTTAATTGGGTTATTTGGTGTTCAGTCATATAAGTTCTTTATATAGTTTGGATATTAATGTCTTAGTGGGTGTATCTTTTGCAAATATATTCTCCCAATCAGTAGGTTGTCTTTTTGTTTTGTTGATGGTTTCCTCTGCTGTGCAGAAGGTTTTTTATTTTGGTGCAGTCCCAATAGTTTAATTTTGCTTTTGCTTCTCTTGCCGAAGGAGACGTATCTAGAAAAATGTTTCCACAGCCAATGTCAAAGAAATTATTGACTGTCTTTTCTTCTAGGATTTTTATGGTTTTAGGTCTCACATGTAGGACTTTTGAATATCCATTTTGAATCCATATAAATTTGGGATAATCATTTTATTCAAAAATATTTAAGAGAAATAGATCTAAGGATTACTTTTAAATTAGCAAATCCTTTTCACATTTTAAACCTCATTGATATTATCATCCTAATACAAAAGTCCTTTTTTCAGTTTATTCGCTCATGGTATTGGTAAATAACTGATAGAAGATGCAATGAGATTTTTGTAACATTTAGATATGCCTAATTCAATTATAATAAACTTGTATAGAATTTACTTTTCAATTTAATTTACTTTTAAATAAATAAAATTATTTATTAATATCATTCTGAAAAAGCTATGGTTTCTCTAGCTACATCTTCCAGGCTCAATAAATTAATCTGTGGGGTCAGTTCTGAAGGTGGTTTACTGTGGTGGATGTTCATATTTGAAGAAGTGGAGTTCTAACTTTGTAAAACTCATTTCAAATATTATTGTTCCTTTCAGAAAATGTATACTCACAAACATTAAATTTTGCATCTATTTTCAGCATATTTGCGATCCCTTGAAGCCCACTCCAGGAAAATGGCAAGACTACCACCTTTACTGTTATCCCAGGAGGCCCCCCTTCCCACATTGTTATATTTGTAGCTACTGCCCTTTATTAAGTAGTTACTGTAACTCTAGGCTTTCTCCTAAGAGCAGGAAAAGATTGTCTCCTTTGAGATCTATTAAACATTTATCTGTGCAGTATTAATGCAGTGTGCATATAAAACTGTGTGCCTATAAATCCAGTAACATACAGAATGTATTATATAGGTGTGTTTGGGAGGAAGGGAATGAGGGCATCCGATTTTCTGATGTGTCCAAGCTGGTTTTCAATTACTCAATTCTATTCCAAGTTTCTCAGAGGAAATGGAGACAAATTATATGTAAGATTTTTCTGTGCATGTGCTCATTTACCTGATGAAGATTTTCCACCCAAATGCACTGTACAAGTTGGTGTGGGTGATTTCGCCCTTTACATCACAGTGTCACTGCAAGTGAGGCTGTCGAGGCCATTTTATATCCATGATCGTCTCTCTGTGACTATGTAGGTAGTAGAGAAAAGTACCTGAAATAATAGGTAATGGCTTCTGTTTTGCACAGCAAGATCAGTTTCGTATAGAAGGGTCTTACCATTAAAAGCAAACATGATCTGATCCCTTGAGAAAAAAAAATGGTGATGTTAAGTATGTTTCTTTTCTAGCGGTAACTTGTCCCAGCATTGAAGCTCAGCTCTCAGATCACGTCACCTGGAGACTGGTTTCAGGATCGTTGAATGAGTATGGAGCTCAGGTAGTGCTCAGCTGCAGTCCTGGTTATTCCCTAGAGGGCCAGAGGCTGGTACAGTGCCAAGCTAACGGAACTTGGAGCATAGGCGAAGAGAGGCCCAGATGTCGAGGTGAGTGGCGGGTACCCTTCCCAGATAACGTAGCCATTCTGAATGATTGGCATCACTGGCAACCACCTTTTAACCCACCCCTGTAAGCCCTGTAGATTAATAATATAACAAAATGGTATTTCTTGTCATTATAATGATGAATATGGATTTTTATGTGACATGCTTAGAACCTGACTGCTGGATTAAATGTTGAATGTTGTCTTTTCCTTATTAATGATGCATTTTATATACTTTAAAATATTAGAATATTCAAATATTCATATCAGCTCAAAAACAGATCCAGGCCTATGTTTAAAAAGATAACTCTTATTCCATGCACTGACTATTCAAAACTTCTAATTAGGATCGTGGGAAATAGTATTTATACTGAAGATATTGCATGCTCAAATAATGACTGTCTTGAAAAGGGAGATTATTATTCTCATAGGTACAAGATAAGCTGTTAAGCCTTTGAGTGGGTTTCATAATAAATATGAATAAATAGAAAAATAAGACAATATTAGTGTTGTTCAGAGCATTATTTGATTCTGATATATTTAACATACACTCTTAGCAGGTTGTTCACAGGAAATTATCATGCACAAATCAAGTAGTTAGACCAGTGTCAAATGTATAAAACACACAGCTTTGTAAGAATAAACCAGAATAAAATCAGAAAAAGGACCAAAGAATTAATGCTTTGCTGCCTTTGATATGGTCATTCTAATTCAACTTTTAATAGAACCAATGGTAATAAACATATATTAAGCTCTTCACCAAGAACACAAAGATAAATTAGGGAGGGTCGGTGAACTTCAGGGGCTCACTCATAGTCAAGGTGGACAGCACCCCTAGATCCCCAAACTGCCTGAAGCGTGTTTTCCAGAGTAATTATTAATGGTTGCTGTTCATTCTCACAAGTGTCCTGGTTTGACTCATTATCTGGTCACTGAACTCATAGTGCATTTCCTCTGTGTTCTGCTCCATCTGAGTTAGTGCATCCCCCCTTCCCACACCCACGCCTGTCATCCTCAAAGGTACCCACCGTGAAGCTCAGCGCTGTGATTCAGAGACTCAGTCATTAAGGTCAGCAAGGAGAGTGAAGGAGAAAGATTTGGGAGCCTCTACCTTTTGCCTATCTCAGACTTTTCTAGCCAACACCCTTTTTGTCAGTTTCGAACCGAATCAGAGTCTTAAAAATAGGCACACATTAAGTTCTTGGGAGTGGGAAGTTCACTTCTGTGGATGCAACAGTGTAGTCTAGTTTTTGCTCATCTCTCTAGCTGTCTGGGGCACCAGGGGAGGATCATGTCAAGTGGATATTTGCTATGCCCCACCCTTTATACTAAAGGCTCAAATCTCCATTCCAGAACTGACACTTATAAGAAGACTCATATTTAGAAGAGTGTTTACAAAACCAGGCCTTCCTGATTGTTGAACCAACCTCCTTAGCAGCAAGTTTCCACCTTCTTTTTGGGGGAAGAAAGCAACACTGGGGTTCTACCATCCACAAATTGTATTTTTGTCTCCATCCTTCTGAAATTCTAGCAAGTCTGTCCTTCTGACTCTAATAGACTTCAATCTGGTGATTGCAATACTGAGTATGGTCTAGGAACAACAACCAGAAATCCATGTGTGTGGGGATATCTCCCACCAACTTAGCACGCAGATGGATTTCGTAAATTGTCAGCTGTTCATTGACTCGCCTTGCTTGGCATGAGTTGTTATATCACACTTTGTTACTTGTCTCTCTTGAATGTCATCGTGGACCTGTGGCCTTGTCCAGAGTCAGGGGGGTCCATGAAGTCATTGCTTGCTATTTGTGTGTGTTTTTATTTTATTTTATTTATTTTTTATCAAGTTTGGTGGTTCACATCATCACAGTGTGGCCAGAGAGAGTCCCTTCTACCTGACTCCATCTTGTCCTTCTAATGTCTTTGAAGTTGTCCCTGTTTTCTCATAAAGACAGGTTGTTTTATGCTCATCCTGAGGGTTTTTTGTTTTTTTTTTTCCTGGCCTAAACATGGAATCAGCCATTCTCCAAGGAGCCCTTTTAGTGGAAAATGGTGTTAGAGACCCACTTGTGTGCCCAAGGGTATGCATCATGTTGTTCATGTTATCGGTGGGTAGAGAAAGCTGACACCAAGCCTATCCTTATTTTTGTGACCAAACTGAAATTGTTCTGTTTCCTTTCCCCCAAAAGACTTGATATGGATATTTTTGATTAATTTATATCTCTACTGATTTTTTTTTAAGTTTTGCACTAACTAAAGAGAGTATCAAAGATGTTCTTGTTTCAGAACATTGATGTGTCAGTGAGATATCACAATGTCTAACATTGTGTTCAAATTGTGGTGTGATCTGAAAACTCAGCAGTCTTCACCGCCCCCTCCCCAGTCCTCTCTTTGGTTGAAATGTTTTGGAAGTGATTCCAGAGAGCACAAGCCTAGAAACCCCCTCACCTATGATAAACCTCTATGGGACATATACCTCAGCCTCTTGGACAGTAGTGGTTCTCAAGGTCATTCATCCTAGGCATCTCATAATGTTAAACACTGTTGAGGACCTGTCTTCATTCTCTGTTGCTATAGAATCATTAAAACACAATGTAGAACAACACAGATTTGTTATGTCAGAGTTTCTGGGGGCAGATGTTTGCCACTTTTTAGCTGGGTCTTCTGCTGAAGGTTGAGATCAAGGTATTGGCTGTGTCCTTATCTGGAGCCCCAACTGGGGGAAGATGGGCCACACTGTTTGTTGATGGAATTTGTGTCCATGCAATTTAGGGCTGAGTCCTCACACTGTTGCTGATTGTGGACTAGGAAATGCCCTCAGCCCCAGGAGGCCATGTGTAGCTCTTTCCAATGCACTGCCCATCCCTCCAGGCCCTCCGGTGATTCAAATCTCTGGCTCCAGGAAGGACTCAGTTCCTTTAAGGGCTCCTTCACTGGGTCAGTCCCAACAGATAATCCCATGTTGATTAGCTCAAAGAAAACATTCATAACCTCATCATGGTTCTGCCTACACCAAGGGGAGAGGATTTTACACCAGGGAGCAGAAATCTTAGGGTACTATCTTTGAACTCTGCTGGCTGCTAGATCCCAAAGACCTTTTTAAGATTTTTAACATAAATTCAAATCAAGAATTATTTTAATGTGTTTATATTAATTCATTTAAATTTAAATGGAAAAATCATTATTTATTTAAAATAATAATAAGATAATTACACCTTACCATGATACCATTTTTCAGTAAACAGTAATGACTAATTATTATCAAAAATAAAGTGAAAAAAATTTAGAGCCTTAACATGCATACGATATTTTATGGGTTCTATAAGAAAATAAAAATAAAGGTATGTTTTAGTTCATTCTTGCTATAACACATTTTCATTTTATTTTATATTTAAAATATGTTTAAATTACATTTATCTCCTATTTCCCCACCTTGCTAACATACACTCAGAAAAACCCGATATGAATCCTGGAAGCAGAATACTTTTTGAAGGGTTTGTGTTATCCTAACTCCAGGTTCCTGAGACCAAACCCAGGTGAAGAGGACAGGAGACCTACTCCCACCTTGAAACTGTGAGCTTTGCAGTCACTCTCTTTCAGAAGAACCAACTTCCAATGGTTATCCCTAAAGAGACAAGAACACCAGATTAAAGTTCCATCTCCCGGGTGTCCATATATCTCCCTAGCACAAGAACTACATCAAAGTGGGAGGCTATTGCTTTCTTCTTGTTACATTTCTTTATTGTTTGACTTACTGCTTTAAAAAGTAAGAAAAATATTTATAAAAAAAAAAGAAAAATAGTTATCACAGAAATCCTTGAACCAAAAAGAAAACATCTTTGCATTTTAAATTTACACGCAACTCACAGACAGAGAGTGCTACACGGGGCTTTCGTTATGTTGTAGATATTCAGAAACACAGCCTGAATTCTGGACCATGGCTCCTTAAAGAATGTGTCTTTAATGGAAGGGAAAGAGGCAAATAATTCATTTTGAAAACTTGAAGGGAGAAAAGAACATGGAAATGAGGCTTTACCTTGGGTGTTTGACAAAGCATATGTGTGTGTGTGTGTGTGTGTGTGTGTGTGTGTGTGTGTGTGTGAGTGAGACTGTGTTGGGGAGTTCTCCCTTTCATTTAAGGTAGCTTTTCCAAATTAGTGCTGCTATTTTCATTAATGTATTGGGTTTCCTGCCAACTGAAACTCTACCATCTGAGGCCCCATTATCCAGCTGCTGAAAAGCTAAAAGTTTGCTCCATTAGCTCTTCTTTACAGTCTAGTGAACCTTAGTGGAGGACAGACCTAAAATATATTCATTCCCTGGGTATTTTTAACAGAGGCTGAAAGAATGGGGCAGAAGCAAAGCAGCGTGAGCCTTTCTGCTAGTCTTTCCACCGAAGGTGTGTCAACACCTCTGAGGACATGTGCTCAGAATTCATTGCTGGTTAACACTTTTCTGACCCATGCAGAAGTTTCAGAACACGGTCCAATTATCCTAAATGGCTACGCATGGATCTTTAAATACCATAACTCAAGGTGAAGTTCATAGTGTGTTAGGGAAAGGCTTAATTGAAAGTTCATAATAAATCGTAAAAAAAAATAAAATTAACACTTGGAATTCATTAACATTTGGTACAGCAGACATGTTAACAATATTACTAAATGCATGAGATGTAACCCAATAAGAGTTTAGGGACCCCAGAAACTAGTAAATCTGCAACAGTAACGTTCTGATCACGACCTCCTCTGGAGCTGAACTGTCCGAATTCTCGGTGAGCAATCCCCCTAGAACACATAGGGCTGTGTCTGTCTGCTTGAAAACGTACCACAGTCATGACACCTCAGAGTAAGATCGGCCTCAGTGCAAAAGACTGGTCTAAACAGCACGCCCATAAATCTGTCTTCACTCAAACTATCAGTCAAGGTGTTCACACTAAGTCAGTTCACAGAATGGGTCCCAGGTCTGCTTTGCGCTAGTTAACCCTGACTGGGCCCTGGTCCCATGCAAGGCATGGCTTTGCTGTTTGCATGTGTCCCCTCTTTGAATCCAGTGCACAATTCCGTGTGGCAGGCACTGCTCTCAACCCTTGAGAGAGGAGCTAATGAGAGCCCAGGGACTTGGAGGAGGCAATGGCAAAAGGCAGCGTTGAACCTGAATAACCTGCAGCCAGATCTGTGTTCTGAATTGCTGTCTTACTGCCTCTGATCAGTTTACTATTAATAGCGACTCGATATTGGTAGCTACTTGCCACCTTTGCCCTAAGCCCCTTGCGAACAGCTCAGTGCAGCCGGAACTCCCTTGTGCTCTTCTTAGAGTGGCCTTCAAACCCTTGGTTCTTATGTGGGGGGGACACACAGAAGCCTCTGTGGCGCAGTTGGCCTTGATGACTTTGTGGTTTCTTCTTCCCGTCAGATTCCACTGACCTTTTGTGCTCAAACGTTTCTGCGTTTGGAGTGTGGAGAGTTGGGTGGTACAATAAGGATCAATAACGAAAGTGATCATTAACTCTGTCTCCCCAACTGGAGTCATCTTGTTGAAAGTGGACCCTGTTAATGATCATGCTGGGAAAATAGGTGTACATGGGGGTGCACAGTCACTCCAGCTACAATGACTGAAGGTCTGAATTTTGTATGTTTTTTAATTTTCAGAAAGGCTTGGGGGCACCTGGGTGGCTCAGTGAGTTAAGCGTCTGCCTTTGGCTCAGGTCATGATTCCAGAGTCCCACATCAGGCTCCCTGCTCAGCGGGGACCCGGCTTCTCCTCTGACCCTCCTCCCCTCTCATGATCTCTGTCTCTCTCTCTGTGTCAAATAAATAAATAAAATCTTAAAAAAAAAAAAAAAAAGGAAAGAAAGAAAGGCTCCACATGGCCGCATAGTCAGCATTTTTACGCAACTCTCAATCCCAACAAATCATGCAAGTCAACGAAAGAAACGGTGAACTCAAGCCTTCCATTGGAGCGAGCATCCTCAGTTTTGTGCGGCAGTTAATTGACTTGTGGAAGATCACTCTCGTTCCTTAATTCCCGCAGGCCACACCCTTGTCCAGTCCCTGCCATGTGGTTCTCCCGGCTGCTGCACACAGGAGGGCGGGCAGGCAGCCCACGCGTTTGACCAGCCTGCTTGTGGGATGTCTATACACTGCACAGTTTTATAATCTGCTCTAAATGCTCACATTTTCATTTCAAGGGTGTAAGAGAAGGAAAATTAAGCTTCCTATGTGGTTGACCTACCCAACTCTAAGCAGACATCCCTGTCCCTAATAAACATTGGGACTGAAGATTTTGTCATTTTTGAGCAAAAGAATAATCCGTGGACTTGAAATAATATTCGCTTTCTGTTTTCCTTCCAGTGATCTCCTGTGGAACCCTCTCCTTTCCCCCAAATGGTAACAAGATTGGTACGCTGACGGTCTATGGGGCCACGGCCATATTTACATGCAACACGGGCTACACCCTTGTGGGGTCTCACGTCAGAGAATGCTTAGCCAACGGACTCTGGAGTGGCACGGAAACACGATGTCTGGGTAAATTCATCTATCATCTGGCACTTCTTTTGTTCACATAAGCCTTAAAAATACAGTACGGTTGGACAAAGCCTAACACTTCTTGCTATAAATGCTCCCACAGAGCACTAAATCCTCCCTCAGGCTTCAGCACTCCCCTTCACACTGGGACTTCTTCTGTAAGTAGCTAAAAGGCTTTTTTTTTTTTTTAATTTGACCAATAAACAAAAGTCACTTATTGCCTTAAGTGACTTAAACACTATTTTGCAGAGTGCTGAGGATATCACCGCACTTAATGTCATCAGGATTTTAGGACACACAAACATGATATTCAAAAATATGACGCACTTTATCTTTTAAAACTTTAAAAATTGTGTCAGTAAGTGGAAGTAAGATCAATCAACGTAAATACAATGAATTATTTCAAATGGAACGCACATACAATAACTTGTTCTTCTTTTGCCCCAAGGTGAAATTTTTCTGCATGCTAATTTTAAAAAAAATTGAGTTGAAAATTTTTTCATTTAAAAGATCTTTTGTGAATAAACATAAGGAAATTGTTGAATAGGCAGCTTAAAGTATACTGATTTATAATGCTCCTGTAGGTCTCCAAGTAACTTGTAAAATACGTTAACTGCTTTTTGCCCTTTTGACTTCTTTCTGGGATCTCAGTAATTTAGTAATCACTCAAAGGCTATAGAAGGTGGAAAGTTTAAGCCTCTGACTCTCTGTGGGCTGGAAATCACTTCAGGACTGAAGCCAGGACCAGTAAATTTTGAATAGGAAAATCTGTTCTTTTTACTTGAGGTAATTTGAAGAAATACTCAGGAGAATTGGGCAGGGGGGAACAGAGAGAGAGTGAAACTTGAAAGTAGTAATTCCAGAGAAAATCAACCAGCAAAAGGAGTTTCTCACTCTTATCCATAAAATGGCACCTGCTTTCTTGAAATCACTGTCATCCCTACATGAAAGCTGCTAGCATACTACTTTGTGTATACGCATATATTCTCGTTGGGTGTGGTTAGTACGGTTTTCCATAGACCGCAAAACTTCCTTGGACTATGTGTGGTGCTTTGCGTTGAGAGTCGCTGGTGCTTCTGAGATTGTCCATCCGAAACGTTCTTATGGGGTGTCTGGTCATTGAATAGCACCCTCCTTAAGGCAGCTCTGCATTGGGGTAGGTCTTCTCGGTTCTCATCAGTGACATCAGCACCGTAGAGGGGAATCAGGTGATCTAAGAAATTTACATCTGTGCTATGATTGTGATGATGGAAAGCAGTGAGGATTTACATTTTATTAGGGCTGTATTGCTGACTAAAACCTCATTAGGTAAGAGGGCTATTGTGGCCTCAGGGAGTTTGAGGGGCACGTCCATTTTCTGAAACTGTTCTATCATGGGGTCTGCTGGAGTCTTACTGATCCCGAATAAGCCTTCACCTTTTCTGTGGTATCTTCTGACTGAAGGTAGGACTTTGAAATAGAAAGACTGAGCAACATATTGCATGGCTGGCGGGGCCAAGGTGCCCAAAAGTGTGGCTTCAGTGTGATGCAGTATGTCTCAGAAGCTTCTGGGAGAGTGAGTGCTCAGAAGGAATTTAAACTGAAAATAAAGAGTAAGTACATCTGGGGCACCTGGGTGGCTCAGTCGTTAAGCGCCTGCCTTCGGCTCTGGTCATGATCCTGGAGTCCCTGGATCGAGTCCCGCATCGGGCTCCCTGCTCGGCGGGGAGCCTGCTTCTCCCTCTCCCACTCCCCCTGCTTGTGTTCCCTCTCTCGCCGTGTCTCTCTCTGTCAAATAAATAAATAAAATCTTTAAAAAAAAAAAAAGAGTAAGTACATCTGGACAATAATGTATAAAACATTAGTGTTCTAGAACCTGGATCTGGAATATAAGGAATAATGAAATTGGAAGAGCAAAGAATCTTAAAGAAAAACTAGTAGAAGAGTATTAGATATGACACAGCCACATATGTTTATAAACCAATGAGTAAAGAATGGGTAATAAATTTAGTATAAAGATTTCAGAAGTCAGTATATATGGTTTCACAACTACTACTAAGACTTGAAAATTTAATTCATAATATACACCTACCTTGGAGATATTGTGGATTTGGTTCCAGACCACCACGATAAAGCAAATATCACAATAAAGTGAGTCCAGTGAATTTTTGGTTTCCCAGTGCATATAAAAGTTATGTTTACACTATACTGTAGTCTATTAATGTACAATAGCATTATCTAAAAAATGTATATACCTTAATTAAAAAATACTTTACTGCTCAAAAATGCTAACCACCACCTGAGCTTTCAGTGAGTTGTAATCTTTTTGCTCGTGGAGGGTCTTGCTTCAGTGTTGGTGGTTGCTGGCTGATCAGGGTGGTGGTTGCTTAAGTTGGGATGCCTTGGCAATTTTTTTTTAAAATAAGACAACATTGAAGTTTGCTGCATTGATTGACTCTTCTTTCACAAAAAGTTTCTCTGTAGCATGCAGTACTGTTTGATAGCATTTTAGCCCCCGTAGAACTTCTTTCACGTTGGAGTCAGCCTTCTCAAACCCTGCTGCTGCTTTATCAACTCAGTTTATGTAATGATCCAAATCCTTTGTTGTCATTTCAACAGTCTTAAAGCATCTTCACCAGGAATGGATTCCATCCCAAGAAACCACTTTCTTTGCTCATCCACAAGAAGCAACTCCTCATCTGTTCAAGTTTGATCCTGAGAGCACAGCAGTGCAGTCCCATCGTCAGGCTCCACTTCTGATTCTCATTCTCTGGCTCCTTCCACCCCATCTGTGGTTACTTCCTGCATGAAATCTTGAACCCTTAAAGTCATCCATGGGGGCTGGAATCCACTTCTTCCAAACTCCCATTTGTATTGATATTTTGACCCTTTCCCATGAATCACAAATGTTCTTCATGGCATCTAGAATGGTGAATCCTTTCTGGAGGGTTTTCAATTTACTTTGCCCAGATCCATGAGAGGAATCACCATTTAAGGCAGCTATAGCCCTATGAAACGCATTTCTTTAATAATAAGACTTGAAAGTTGAAATGATTCCTTGATCATGGGCTACAGTATGGATGCTGCATTAACAGGCCTGAAAACCACATTAATCTCATTGTCCGTCTCCATCAGAACTCTTGGGTGACCAGATGCATTGTCAGTGAGCAGCAATATTTTGAAGGGAATCTTTTTCTCTGAGCATTTGATCTCAACAGTGGGTTTAAATATTCAGTAAACCATGTTGTAGACAGTTGTGTTGTCATCCAGGCTGTGTTGTTCCATTTACAGGGCACAGGCAGAGCAGATTAAGCATGATTCTGAAGCACCCTAGGATTTTCAGAATGGTTCATGGGCATTGGCTTCCACTTAGAGTCACCAGCTGCATCAGCCCCTCACGAGAGAGTCAGGCTGTCCTTTGAAGCTTTGAAGCCAGGCATTGACGTCTCTCCGGCTACGAAAGTCCTAGATGGCATCTTCTTCCAACAGAAGGCTATTTTGTCTACACTGAAAATCTGTTGTTGGGTGTAGCCACTTTCCTGAATTCTCTGAGCTAGATCTTCTGGATGACTTGCTGCAGCTTCTCCTTCAACACCTGCTGCCTCACCTTGTCCTTTCATGTTATGGAGATGGCTTCTTTCCTTAATGCTCACCTACCAACCTCTGCTAGCTTCGTACTTTTCTTCTGCCGCTTCCTTACCTCTTTCAGCCTTCATAGAACTAAGAATTCAGGCCTTGTTATGGATTAGGTTTTGGCTTAAGGGAACATTGTGGCTGGTTTTTTCTTCTGTCCAGACCACTAGAACTTTCTCCATATCAGCATAACAAGGCTGTTTCACTTTATTATTATTATTTGTGTGCTCATTGGAGTTGCATTTTTAATTTTTTCAAGGGTTTTTCATTTGCATTCACAATTTGGCAAACTGTTTGGCACAAGAGGCCTTGCTTTTGGCCTATCAAGGCTTTCCACATGCCTTCCTCAGTAAGCTTAAACATTTCTAGGTTTTGATTTAAAGTGAGAGATGTGTGACTCTTTCACTTGAACATTTAGAGCTTATCGCAGAGTTATTATTAGCCTAATTTTAATACTGTTGTGTCTGAGGGGCTAGGGCAGCTGGAGGAGAGGGAGCAAGATGGGGGATGGCCGGTCAGGAGTGCAGTCAGAACACATGCATGTCAGTGAAGTTCACCATCGCACATGGCCGGGGTTGGTGGTGCTCCAAACCAACGACAAGAGTTACAGCAAAGATCACTGATCACAGATCACCATAACAAATATAATCCTAATGAAAAGTTTTGAAATATTGTCAGAATTACTAAAATGAGACATGGAGACATGAAGTGAGCAAATTCTTTTTCTTTTTTTTAAGATTTTATTTATTTGAGAGAAAGCGAGAGAGGGAGGGAGAGAGAGTACAAGGAGGGGGAGCAGCAGAGGGAGAGGGAGAAGCAGACTCCCCGCTGAGCAGGGATCCCGATGCGGGACTCGATCCCAGGACCCTGGGATCATGACACGAGCCCAAGGCAGACCTTTAACCCACTGAGCCACCCAGGCACCTGAAGTGAGCAAATTCTGTTGGAAAAATGGCTTCAATGTACTTGCGTAAAGCCGGGTTGTCATAAACCTTCATTTTGTAACCATGCAATATCTGCAAAGCACAATGGAATGAGGTGTGCCTGTGCATGGAATATGGCAATGAAAGGTATCTCTTTTCCTGAGTAATGGAATGCCAATGTATAGGTAACATGGTATAACTCAGTAAGAACATATGTTCATGGGACCCATAGAAACACAGCTAAGGTGAACAGGAGAACAGAAGTAAAGTCAGTGCTAGAGAAAATCCTAAAATAGTCAGACAGATCAAGGGAATAGAGGCTCCAGTCCTTAATCTGGCACAGATACTTGAAAAAGTAGCTAGTGGATACCACCATAGCAAAAAAATTACCTAGATGCCTTATTGGATATAATAATTTGAATGAAATTATTTATTGATAATGAAAAATGTACAATGCATTTTTCA